GGGCTGGTCACCTCCATCTGGGTCTCCCAGGGAAATTTGGAGATTCTCGGGTATATGACGGGGAGAGAGGCCGAGCGGAAGAGAGTCAGAGACAGGCCTGTGGGGAGATGGAGGGAGAGACAGAGAGAAGCAGATAGGTGGAACAGAGACAGATTGGAAGGGAGACAGACAGAGGCAAACCAGGAATGTGAGGCAGAGGAAGAGTCAGACAGACACACAGACGGCAAGAGACAAACATGCAGACGGGTGTGGGGAGAGGGGTGAGAGAGGGAGAGACAGAGACAGACAGCCAGGGGGAGGGAACAGACCGAAAGGCAGGGGCTGGAGAAAGAGACAGACAAGCACGGAGGGAGCAAGAGCGAGAGACAGGCAGATGGAGGAAGGTAAAGAGTCGGAGACAGACAGACAGAGATGTAGGGTAAGGGGAGAGTTGGTAAGAGCTGGAAACAGGGGCTCAGGAGAAGCAGGACCGTGGCGACCTGGCAGGAGCTCTGCACAGCACTGGCGACCAGCCCCTGCCCGGTGCCCTCAGACTCAGTTTCCCCATCTCTGCCAGGGTGCTTGACCACCCACCCCCCCACACTCACACAGCCCTCACTCCCCCACTCAGGACAGGGGAGGAAGCGGAGGCTCAGGGAGGGGAAGGGCGAGGTCTACAGTAAGCAGAGCATGGACGTTGGATCCCAGGCTTTTCCGCCCCATCCATCCGGCTCCGGCTCAGGGCACCAGCGGCCAGCAGCAGACACTCCCTGCTCTGTCAAGCCTGTGTCTTGGGCAGTGATCCAGACAGCCCTGGCCGCACCCTCTGGGGCAGTAGACAGTCCAGTCCAGGGACGGTGCCTGCCCAAGGCCAGGCTTGGGGTGCTCAGAAGGAGCACCTGCCCTGGCCTGGGGGTTAAGGGAGGGCTTCCTGGAGGAAGGGACATCTGACTCAGCCTTGGCAGGGAGGGGTCGGGAAACTGGTTCAGAGTTCTGATATATCCAGAGACCTGGGTTCAAATCCTCCCTGAGACACCTCCTCCATGTGACTCAGGCCTGCACCCTCCCACCTGGGTACTCATCCTCCTTGCCCGCAAACTGGGGAAATGACAGTCCCCACCTCCCGGGGCAGGGGGAGGAGTAAACGAGCCTGGGCACAGACAGCCCTTGGCACGGTGCCTGGCACGTACTGAGTGCTTAGTAACTGTCAGCATCCCCTTCAGGGCACCCTGAACAGATGCCACTGGGGACTCGGACTCTCTGGAGCCCCCATCAGCCCTTCTGGAGAGGTTCCGTACCCCCTCCCCCAGTGAGGGAACTCGGGGCTCCCAGACAGGAAGTGACTTGCCCAAGGTCACACAGACCAGAGGGAAGCACTGGTCCCCACCCCACCCCACCCCCAGCCGACTTTTTCCTGAAAAGAGGAAGTTGGTGGTCAGAGGTTTCCGGGGAGATAAATTATACTTGGCAATGGCTCCGTCTCTGCCGGGGCTGGGGGCTGGGGCGTGACGCTGATGTTGGAAAAGACAGGGCAGGGAAAGCCCCTCAGCGGGCCCAGGTCCCCATTCCTAGGCCAGGAAGCTGAGCCCCCGCTCCTCCCCGCCAAGTTTAGATAATTGTGGCATCTCCCTCTCATCGGGCACTAAAGCTGCTCAGGCACCCTAGGCTCTTAATAAAGAGACACCCATTGTATGCTCACTGCAGCCCTTCAAGATGGGCACTCTTTCATCTTCATGTTGCAAGTGAGGGCTGTAAATGGAGGCCCAGAGAGGTGGAGTGACTGGCCTGTGAACACACAGCTGGTAAGCAGCAGAGCGAGGGTTTGAATCCAGGCCACCTGGCTCTCAGGTCCACAGTCTTAACCACTGGGGAGACTGCGTGGGCTGTCCCCAAATATCAGGTGCCGTCTCCAGACCAGCACCGCCTCAGGGACTGTTTCTGGCACCCGCTGCCCCCGGCAGAGCAGGGCGAGGGCCTCACCCATACCTGCCACCCACACCCAGGGCAGACTCTGGCCAGGCGCCCGGGGCTATGGTTGCTACCCCACCCTGCCTGCACTTTGCTCTCCCAGGCAGCCTTGCCCTGCTGCCATCTCTGGCCTGGCTGGAGATCTGGGGGCTGCTGAGTGACCCCAGGCTTGTCCTGCCCCTCTCCAGGCCACAGCGTCCCCGTTATGACAGATGGTTCTTTTTGAAACGCAAGTCAGATCGCGTCCCTTCTCTTCTCGGAAGCTCCCGGAGCTCCCGCCGGCCTCTCTGACTGTGGCCTGCATGATCTTCGTGATCTCTGATCTCATCCCTTCCCTCCCTCGCTCTCTGTTCCAGCCCCATGGGCCCTCCTTCAACATTGCAGACACATCCTTGCCTCAGGCCCCTGCACTTCTTCCTCCTTCAGGCCTCCGCTCAGATGTCACCTCTTCTGAGAAGCCCTTCGGGACTCCCGTATGTGGAAAAACTCCTTCTCAGCCCATGATCCCTGTCTCCTGTCTCCCGGACCAAACTGTCAGGACAGAAATTCTTTCCATCTCTGTTCACCGCTGTGTCCCCCACCCCCAACCTAGATTGGTACCTAGCACACAGTGGGCACTCAAGAGTTGCCAGATTCGCCAAGCAGTTGTTCATCATTAAAGGGAAAACTCTTCACAAAGGCTCCAACAGTTAGGGACTAGCCCGTGTCCCACACCCCGTTGTAGGTGCTGAGCCCCAGTCTGCCCAGTGAACCTTGCAATGACCTCATGCCACGGGGCTCTGGTGCTTTACCCACTTTACAGGTACTTACAGGCACTGTGGGCACAGAGTGGCAAGGACACTTGTCCCAGGTGATTCAGCAAGTGAGCTGGGGGGCTCGTATTTGTACCCTAGGCCACGTAAGTTCTTAGCCTCATTTAAAGAAGAGGAAACAGCTAAAGCTGAGGTTTTTAGGAGGCAAGATATACCGTGGGGTGTATTGGAGAGGATATAAATACCTCTGCGCACAGGGTGGTGAGGGGGTATTAGCCGGGGTGGCTTCTCAGGAGACTAACCAGGGGCGCCTCCCAGGAGGGGCCCCGGGGGGCCTGAGGAAGGATGGAGGAAATGGACATTCAGGACTGTTTACCCTTTGGAATTGCTTATTTCTTTTTTTCTTTTTCAACCACGGGCTGGTGTCACCTACGAGGCGCTGCTGCATTACTGAAGTTCAAAAAATAAAACTTGTAAACCAAGCAAAAAAAAAAAAAAAAAAAAGCTGGAATGGAAAATCCCACAGCCCTGGAAGCAGGGAGTGAGTCTGAAACGGGGTCTGCCAGATTCTCTCCCCTCCCGCCCCCCCCGGTCTCCCGGGGTCTCACACCCCTGATTTGACACGAGAGACGAGACGCTTGGTTCCCACCCAGCCCAGGACCCATGCCTTCCCAGAAGTCCCGCCATTCTGGAGAAGGCTCACATGTGGTGGATGACAAAGGGTTCGAGTCACGCTCCTGCCGTGTGGCTTCACCTCTCCTGAGTTGCAGTTTCCCAGCCCCTGGAAACCTTAACTCACTGGGTTTGCTGTTAAGGATTCAAAGAGATGAGAGAGGCCCTAAGCTCGGGACCTGGGACTCTGCCCAAGGCAGCTGAGGGTCTAAACAGGAAGAAGAGGGTTCCTCATCACTGAGGGTAATCACGCAGTCACCCTGGTTCACTCAAGCCTTCCAGATTAGAGGTTCGCCCTTCCCTCCCCCCATCCCCCTTCCAGGCTTACCCCACAGCCTCCTTAAACCATAAAACTTGTAATCCAGCCTCCCCCAGACCCCCAGGCGCATACCACCTTTCCAAACTACACATCTTGGAAGGCACCCTGGATGAGGAACCGGGGCTAGGGTCTTTGGGTTTGTGTAGGTTCCCTCTAGTGTCTCCTCCCTGATAAGCCTCAGTTTCCCATAAATGAAACAGGAAGGTAAAGGGTTCTTTCTGCTTCTCTGCATTACCTTAAGTGTTCCTACAGCGAAATCATGTTGCTTGTATATTTTTTAAAGAGCATCAAAGGTTTGGGGCGCCTGGGTGGCTTAGTCGGTTAAGCGTCTGACTTTCGCTTAGGTCATGATCTCGCGGTTAGTAGGTTCGAGCCCTGCATCAGGCTCTGTGCTGACAGCCAGCTCAGAGCCTGGAGCCTGTTTCAGTCTGTGACTCCCTCTCTCTCTGACCCTCCCCTGCTCACACTGTCTCTCTCTCTCTCTCTCTCTCCTAGGAATTAAAAAAAAAAAACAAACATAAAAAAAAAAGAGCATCAAAGGTTTTATTTTCCTTTCTCTGTAAAAGCATCATAGTCCGGAGATAGCACTGAGTTCAAATCCAGAGCTGCCTGCTTCCAGACTTTCATAGGTGATTTAGTTACACTCTCTGTGCCTCAGTTTTCCCATGGAGGGGGGGCAGTCATAATACAGTGCCTGGCACGGAGTAGATGTCTGATCAAATGGTCTCTTATTATTTTTAAAAAAATCCTAATGGTAATAATAATTACCATTACCGGAAGAAGAAAGAAATGGACCCAAACGCTTGAGTCCCTTCTGCCCTGAGATTCTCAGACCTCTGCCCCTTTCTCCGCCTTCCCAGAATTCCAGCTGAGTCTCGGACACAACAGACACTCAACAAATATTTGTCAAACTGGGAGAAAAAGAACTATATCTTGTAATTTTCCATTTTAACATCGTCTCTTCCAACTGCCCCCAAGTCTCTCCCCGGCCAAACCAGACAGAAATCAGAAGATCCCAGTCCCCTCCCTTCCATCAACACTGCTTATGAATTTCGGATGGATCTCCGGCCAGGCGTCTCTATGAGCCTCAGTTTCCCCAGCTGCCCTCAGACAGAGGCATGGGTCGTTTTGAATGCTAGCTGTCCTGGGAGAGGGGGCACAGCCCAGGAAGCTGGGTGCGGCCATCAGCAGGGCAGACCCCCCTCGGGAGGTGGGACACACTTCAGTTCAACTTCTGCCACCCACCCCCCCCAGGAGGTGGAAGGGCCAAGGCCTCTGGGGCTGGGGGAGGAGGGGGGGCCGGCCCAGACACCGCTCCTGCCCTTTTACGGTCTCACAGTGAGTGAGGCAGCACTAACTCGGACATCCGCCATCCGCCTTCCCCGGGCCTGGGACCGGAAACGCGAGGGGGGGCAAGGGGCGGGGCTGGGGGGGGCAGTGGGAGAGGAGAGTCCCCCGGGAAGAGGGTGAGGGAAAAGAGCTTGGCTCCCGAAGGAAGCCCCCTCTCCAGGGCCGACCTTGAAGAGAGGTTGCCACAATGGGGATAGGCAGGAGAACTTGAGGGTGTCTGCGGGTTTCCCCTTGCTCCAAATTTCCCTACAAGCACTTTCACATGCAGAGGGGACTCTCTGACGGTCATGAAAAGGAATGCCACTCTTGATGTCAGAGGGCAGGGGCGTGGGGGGTGTGGGGGAAGAGAGAGGATGTGGGCACCAGGGGGTTAATCCCCAGTGGTCCCGGGGCCTTCCCCCCTTAAGCTGGGGGCTTCGGGGACAGGAAGTCCCCGAGAGAGTGGAGGAAGGGAAACAGTATTGTCAGGCTCAGGCCCCAAGGGAGAGATTATGGGGGGCCAGGGGGAGGGGAGAGTGGAGGAGGGGCTACTTCGGTCCCCCAGCCCACACCGGCTGCGCCCTCAGGTGAGCCCAGGAGTTCTCGGGGAGGCCCAGGTAAGGCAAAATCCCCAGGTCCTTTGGGCCCCCCACCCCCAGGATGAAATTCCTGGGAAGACAGCTGGAACTGTCTTGGAAGCCTGGGTCCCAGGGGGAGAGGGCTATGACCTTGAAGCTTTACAGCGTCCCCCCTCTCCAACCCAGCAGCTCCGGATGGCCAGGAAGGGGGGCGGTGGTGAGAGCAGGGGGAGGCGCGTGGTGGGGAAAGCAGCCGGCCCACTGCGCTCCTTGCCCGCCCCCCCACACCAGCTGTCTCGACAGGTGAGTCAGGAAGACAAAGGCCCCTCTTCCCCCAGCTGCCGCGCCCCCTCCCTCCCCAGGACCGCACAGGTGGGGGCGACGGGCCGCCCTTCTGGCCCCGGGCCGGGGAGCCGCCCTCCGCGCTGAGCGCTGAGCGCTCGTGCTCGGTCCTAGGCACTGCTTGTTTTAAGCTGAAGGTGGGGTGGGTGGGGAACGGCGGGGGTGGGGAGTCCCAACCAGACCCCTCGAGGCTGCCCCTGGGTCTGTGGGTTCGCCCGCACCAACCTCCACAGGAGGATGAGAGCCCCCCAAATTTGGGGGGTGAAGTACCCCCCAAGTTAAGAAGCGAGGTCCCACTTGAGAAGGCTTTTTCTAGAGCCACAGAACGAGAGACCCCCCCCCCAAACCAAAGTCTCCGTCTCAAATCTCTCTTCCAGGTCCCAGGGACCCCCAAACCAGCCCCCCCCCATCCCTGCTGGAGCCCGAGCTGAGATCGCGGGGTGGTCTGAGCCCTGCCTGAATCCTGGCCTCCATGCAGGGAGTATCTGCCAACTTGGAGGTTCTCTGAAAAAGTCGTGAAGAAATTCGGGAGTCCTCGGAGCGCCCCCAAATCTGAGGGCTCCCAGGAGAACCTCACCGGCACCACCCCGAGCCTTAGGAGACATGACGAAGTGGTCAGTATTTGGAACTCGTCCAAGGGGGCTCGGCCTCAAATCCGAGGCCCCCAGTGCCCTGTCCCCAAATTCCAGTCCAGAGCAAGCTGGGGGGAGGGGGACAAAGGCGGGGCGAGGAGCCCGCGCGGAGCGCGGAAGGGTTCGGAGGCAGTTCGAGGCTCACCTCATGGCTGCTCAGCGGGCGGGCGGCGCACCCACGGGTGGGTGCTCCCGGGGCGCCCCTGGCTCAAGGTTCAGGGGTTCGGGGCTGGCTCCAGATTCTGCTCAGTCTCCCCCAGGGTCCCGCCCCATAGAGTCCGGCTTCCTGGGGGGAACGTGGACCGGGCCGGGGCGGGTCCTCAGGCGCCTCCTCCCTCTGGAGGTTTGGTCGGGGGGTCCCTGCGGCAGAAAGGGGGTGCGGCGTCCCGTTCCCGGCGCGCCCCCTCGGCCGGCGGCGGGTACAATGTTACTCTTACTACTGTACTTCTCTTCGCTACATTTCGTTCCAAAATTCCACTCCCCGCACCCACAATGCCCTGCGCCTTAAAGGGGCCGCGGACACCTCAAGGCAGTGGGGGGGAGGGAGGTGGTGGTGAAGGGCGCTTAAAAGGGCAACGCGGAACCCTAGACTTCCGCTGTTTACCTCTTCCCCAGCGTTATTGCATAGGGATGCATGTCGAGGGTCGCCCCCAAATTAGGTGGGGAAGTTTGGTGGAGGGTAAGGGTTACTTCCTGGATCCCTCGTTCTCTCTCCCACGATGGAAATTCCTAGGAGGATCTTAATGGGGACACAATTTCTTCTCACCCTCCCCTTCGACTTCTCCATTTCTTCACATTCTGCTTAATTTGGGGTGGGGGGGAGCGAAGAGGATCCTCTGGTTAAGCACAGATTTTCTCAAATGTTCTCCCTTAAAGGCTACTTCAGATCCCCAACGTTCCCCCTTCTCTGCCAATTTATGAAGAGTCACTGAGGGGTGAACCCCTTCCCCAGCACAGGAGGGGGGGATGGGCGTGGAGGGCCCCATCCCTCTCACCGCCGCCCCCCCCCCGCCCGCCCCAGGAAGGTGAGGAGGAAGTGGGCCGAGGGGGCGCGGCCGGCCGCTGACTCACAGCAGCGGGGTGGGGGTGGGGGGGTACGGCGCTGGACCTGGGTGGGGACAGGACTCCGGGTTCCTGTGTGGATAAAGCCCCTAGCCCCCTCCCCATGCACGCCCCGCCGTGACTCAGTTTCGCCCGCAGAGGATGGCGGGATCAGCCAGCAATCGGAGGGCGCGGAGGCAGGGGAACCCACCCTAGTGCTCCTGTGAGCCCCCTCCCCCACGCGCCACCTTGGGGCTCAGCCCCGACACCCTCCCAGGCTTCCGCAGCAGGTCCCGCAGGCCCCGCCCCACGTGACGCCACTGGTGGTCACGCCCCTCCGGTAGGGCGCCACCTGGCCCGGGTACTGTGCCTTAAGGCGCGGGCCGGTTGCCTGGGAAGTCTTCAGTTCGACGGTTACAAACGGGTAAACTGAGGCCTGGAGGTAAGGAATAAATCTGGGCCATAGACCTCTTGCCTGAGTCCTCAGAACCACATTGGTATTTGGGTGCAAGGTAGGAGTGTAAACCCAACAATTCTCAGGGCCCCGCTGACTAGGTGAGGGAATCAACTTTCCCAGCCTCTATGCTAGCCTGGTCCTCTGCCTGGATGCTCTTCCGACCTCCTTCACTTCATCCTCTAGGCCGTGCTCCGACATTAATGTCTTCCCTGAAGAACTGAGTAATCTTCTCCCCGGCTCTCCCCCACTCTGTGAGATCTTGAACGCTGATCCACCTAGGTTCTTATTGTTTCCCACGTGTCTCCTAAGTTTCGATTTGGGGGGAGGGGTAGACTTGATCGGTTTCTGCCTCACTCGATCCAGCGAGGTCCAGAAGAGCAGATCAACACACATTTATCCAACAGAAGGGAAACCCTAGCTCTGTGTGACCTTGGGCCAATGTTTTCTCCTCCTGTGTCTCAGCTTTCCCATCTGTGAAATGGGAGGGATAGCACTTCTTTCCGGGCGCCACCTGCACACTTTTCTCTAAAGGTCCAAATAGTAACTATTTTCGGCATATCAGACATAGCGTCTCTTCCAGGTATTCCCTTCCCCCCTCATCTTTTTAAAAATGTAAAAGCCATTCCCAGCTCGAGTGCTGTGCAAAGCCGATAACAGGACCCCTGCCCTGGAGAAACTTGCATATGTACACAAGAAGCCTGATCAAGGATCTTTGTGACAGCAGTGATGTGAGAAGAAACCAGAAAGAGCTTAAATGTCCACCAAGCGGAGGATGAAGAGGAGAACCACTTTGCATCCCCTCGTCTGCAGTGCTGGGCAGCAGCTACAAAGAATGAGTGTGCTAAAGGCAGGAAAGAAGCCTCCGATATATTATTGAGGGGGGAAAATAATCGCCAAATGGTACATACAGTATTTTTTTAAAAAATCACAGAAACACCCGAGGTACCATATACATGTGCAGACACTCAGAGTAAAAGATCTGGAAAGACCCACTCCAAAGTCATTGCAGTGGCTGCCAGTAGAATAGAGAATGGGAATCCGATGGTCATGGACATAGCATGCCTCATCTCGAAAATGCCAGGTTCCATCCTGCCTCTAGGCTTTTGCACTGGCTAGTCCTTCTGTCTTGAACACTGTTCCCTGGGATATTTGCATGGCTCGCTCAGCCTCTGTCACATCTCTGCTCACTTGTCCCCTTCACAGAGATCTTTCCTGACCCCCCTGTCTAAAAACCCAGCTGGAAAATCGAGTGGCTATGAGGTAGGGGAGGGGATGGAGAAAGACTTTTCATTGTATACCATTTTGTGAATTTTGAACCAAGTGAACTTATTACCCACTCAAAAAAAAAAAAAAGAATAAAAATTGAAAAACCAAAGTACCCCCTCAGACATCTTATCACCATGCCCTTTTTTATTTTCCTCGAGACACTTATCAGTGTCTGAGATGATCTATCAGTTCTCTTGTTTGCTGCCTTCCCACGCACTAACTAGGTGGTGTGTCTGTCAGGGGCAGGAATCTCAGTGGTTCTACCTGGTTGATGACTGTAACCAGGGTCTTGCACCCAGCAGGTACCCAATCCATATTTGCCAAATGACAAGACAAATAATGTCTGCGGTATTTTTTTTTCTACAAAAGGAATTTATTTTGAGTTATATTATTAAAATGTAATAATAAATACTCTCCCCAGCATCCCGCTGAAACAGATGAAAAATAGGAAGGGAAGGTTATTGAACTGTATGATCTCTCTCTCTCTCTTTTTTTTTTTTTTAAGAGAGGGAGCGGGTGTGGAAGTGGGGAAGAGGGAGAGGGAGAGAGAGAGAGAGAGAGAGAGAGAGAGAGAGAGAGAGAGACTCCCAAGCAGGCTCTGTGTTGTCGGCATGGAGCCCGATGCGGGGCTGGATCCCACTAATTGCAAGATCATGACCTGAGCTGAAATCGAAAGTCAGACGCTTAACCAATGGAGCCACCCAGCCGCCCTGAACTGTGTGATCACGTAAGGGTCCATTCAGCTTGAAATATTTCAAACATTGGATGTGTTTTTTTGTTTTTTGTTTTGTTTTTTTCAGATGATGAGTGGAATTTCCCCTTCTCATGAGACTTTCTGCAAGAGGGAAGTAGGAGAAAGGGAAATAAGCATTCTGGGGTTCCTCCATCGGTTTGTCTTCCTTCCGCTGATCTGTGTAACTGGGGAAGGGAAGTTTTCTTCCTTAGTGACTTTGAGGCCCCACCTGGGAGAGGGGTCCACAGAGGGCAACAGCTGTCAGGCCTTCAAGTCCAAGGAAGAGTCTGAATGGGCGCCAGTGAGCCTTCCAGCCCCATTTGGGCCCTTCTGTAACACAAAAGGTGGAAATGGCCAATAGGAACCTTTTCTCGGGTCTCTGTATCTGCACCCCTGTAATCTGGAAACAGTGCTCCTGTTTTCCTTTGCGGGATTCCCATTCCCCATCTCTCAGCCCATCAGGTTTGGGTGGAGTGGACCTCAGCCCTGCGCGCTAGGGATGGGCATGTGACCCCAGTCTGGCCAATCAGAGACACAGTGACTGGTCAGCCATGTGGTCCAGGGTGGCCAGTGAGAACCAGCTGTGGAAACAGTGCCTCAGCTACTGGGCACCTGGGGTATTTCCTCCACTGGGAATGTTGGGCTGGAACTCTTGCTACCTCAGGCGGAGACTGGGGCGCCTGGGTGGCTCGGTCGGCTGAGCGGACTGCCTGGGAATGAAGTCTACGCAGAACAAATAAAACTGAGAGATGATGACATCATCTGACAACTGGATGTAGCCATGCCTCCAACTCTTCAATTACTTGACCTATTAAGTCCCCTGTCTTGCATTCCCAGGTGGAACTGGGCTTCTGTCAATTGCGATGCAAACAGTCCGGACAAATACATCCTTCTGATGCTGGGAAACTGTCAACAAGCCCCTCGCTCCCCTGAGTGATACTACCGGAACTGCCTTCTCGCCCATGCAAAGGTCTGCAGGCTTGAGCCCCAGCTCCCTCTCTCCCATTGAGGTGGTGACTCCCACCCCGTGCCTTCATTTATGTGGCTCCACCCACCACCTCTTTGCACCGCTCCAAATTCTTGTAGGGTATGTGGGACCCATTTGGCCACTTCTCTCATCCGGGACCCAGACCATCCTCGGAGGCGTCCCAGGGAGGGTCTCTGCAGCACATCCAGGCTTTGGGATTGGTCATAAACATTCCTTGAATTTTTCTGCCTTATTTATGGATGAAGGGGGTCGTGCTTGGGAAGATTAATGGGGCTTTACAGAGCAATGCAGGGGACACATTTCTTGGGAGGAGGAGCAGTCTTCTCTACTTCTGCATCCCCCCACCCCCACCCTGTCCTGCCTCCATCATGTCTACCACATTGCTTCAGGGCCAGGAGTGAGAATTTATTAACATATGAGGCAAGTCGCTTGTCTCCTCTGGCCTCAATTTCTCCAACACTAAAGGAGATAGGCCTCAATTTCTCCAACACTGAGTTGCATGTTTCTAAGAGAAACCTTCAAGAACAGAGGGTTCTTACCTGCCAGCGCCCTCCTGAGGCCTGGCAGAGCCGAGAATAAGCTTCAGCAATGACAGCGGCCCTGGAGAGCAGAGAGAGACCCTCAGGAGGGGATCCCTCCGTCTATCACCCCTCCCCCCCTTACACCTCACCACGCCCCCACTCACTTGCAGTAGAGCCCTCCCCCAGGAGGTAAATCTGGGATGTCCTCTGAGGCCAGAGTCCTGAAAACCGTGTTCAGACTGGGGGGCTCCTGAGCAGAGGAATACAGCTCTGAGAAGGAGGCAAGGGATTATGGGGGTGTCCCTGCTTACTGACCACCCCTCCCGTTACGCATTCGGAGCCTGCTCACCGGCGACCCTGCGGCCCAGGGCTGCGTCCAGCGCTAGCTCCTTCCTGACTGCCTCCTCGCAAGGCCTGGGGGCCCCGGGGAAGCAGACCAGGAGGCAGGTCATGTTGTCCAAGCTGCCCTGGAGAAAGTGGAGAAAAGAGAGCCCGGTGGGACACGGTTGAATGCCTCAGCACGGTTCCACGCCCTTGCACGCAGAGCCTGCAACAATCTCATTGGTCTAGTGCCCTCCTCCTCAATCTAGTTAGGCCCATTTCTCCCAAGTCTTGCTCAATTGCCAGTCTAAACCAAGCCCTCTCTCGGGACGCCTGGGTGGCTCAGTTGGTTAGGCGTCCGACTTCGGCTCAGGTCATGTTCGTGGGTTCGAGCCTCGCGTCGGGCTCTGTGCTGACAGCTAGTTCAGAGCCGGGAATCCTGCTTCGGATTCTGTTGTCTCCCTCTCTCTCTGACCCTCGCCTGATCACGCGCTCTCTCTCTCAGAAATAAATAAAACATTAAAAAAATTAAAAAAAAAAAAGTCCTCTCACCAGGACCAATCACCTAGACCACGCCCTCTCGCTGTCCTAGCCAATCCCTATCGGAGAGCCACGCCCCTTCCCCGAAGCTCCTCCTACTCCGCTGTCCAACTGCGCCTCCTTCTAGCACTAATTATACCTCAGGACCCACTC